CACCCATAAAGAAAATAACCACAGAACCCCTTGCTTACACATCGTAAAAGACCTCAACGCTACTACTCTACATTCGGGAGTGCGCATACCTTTCCTGCTGCGAGCCACTCATTTCGCTCTCAGAGTCGTTGAAAAGTCCGGCAGCTTTCGACTTACTCTTACCCGCCCCATCATCACTGGCAATGTCACTCTCATCGTCGTCACTGGCAATCACGCGACGAACAAGCTTGCGCCGCCTGTGGTATTAGATGACATTTAATTCAGCATGTATGGTTGGATATAGGATATAGTGTAGCTACATATATAAGGAATGACAGATACTGGATCATATTTAATGCGGCATGTATGGGATATAGTGTAGCTACATGTATAAGGAATGGCAGATACTGGATGATATTTAATTCAGCATGTATGGTTAGATATAGGGTATAGTGTAGCTACACCTATAATCAATATCAAGTACTGGACGATAACTAGCATATATGGCTGGATATGTGATATCGTGTAGCTATCAATGGCTTTGTATAGATTATACACATACGTATACAGTACTACCCATATCACGCTGTCGATGTCACATCCATCGTCATCACCCAATCGATCGCAGCGATAGTTCCAGACAATCATGTACAACTATAGTCACAAAACAGAGACGACAACAACACTGACCGAGGGTGGAAGAATTGAAGATCTATCAACTAGACACAAAACACACACTACATAGAGAATGTGAGCTGTGATTGGTCCTGTTTCAATGACTTATTAGTCTATATATGGCAGAGATCAAAACCTCGATAGCTGATTTATTAACCTGGATGGATTATCGAGTAACCTGGACTAACTATTTAGTGACCTGGATAAACTATTTAGTAACCTGAAGAAACTATTAAGTATCCTGGTTGGACTATATAGTAACATGGCTAAACTATTTAGTACCCTGGTTGGACTATATAGTAACATGGCTAAATTATTTAGTACCCTGGTTGAACTATTTAGTATCCGGGATAAACTATTTAGTAACCTGGTTCAATTATTTAGTAACTTGGATAAACAATTTAGTAACCTGGTTCAATTATTTAGTAACTTGGATAAACTATTTAGTAACCTGGTTAAAATATTCAGTAACTTGGATAAACTATTTAGTAACCTGGTTAAATTATTCAGTAACTTGGTTAAACTATTTAGTAACCTGGTTAAATTATTTAGTAACTTGGATAAACTATTTAGAAACCTGGTTAAATTATTTAGTAACTTGGATAAACTATTTAGTAACTTGAATCGATGAGCTCCCCGGCATTGTATTCACGGGCAGTCGACCCAAGTGTCAATTTTAACAACTCAATATCTCGTTGTCGGCGCTAAGCCTTACATTGTAATGAATAAACGACATCAATGCCATATGAAAACTCAAAACAGTTTTATTGCCGCACAAACAACAAAACAATAATAACATGCGAATAGAAGGGGAAAACGTAAAACACATTGTGCTAGGACTACATAGATACACATCAGAATCAAGACAAACATTTTA